CTGATGCAGATAATATCTGCACAGAAGAATCAGTGCATGACTCAAGATTGTTAGCTGATCTCTTACCACTAATTTACAAATGAGCTACAACCCTCTCCATGGAGAAAATAAAAACATCTTATTTTGTCCAGGCGCTGTTTCTTACTATCGAGTGTATTTGCAGAAAATATAATTTTTGTTCCTGTGTGTGGTTATTTCTCCTCTTCAGTAAATCTGAAGCAGGAAAAAGTTCAGTTCCCATAAAGCACTGCCACATTTCCTACCAGGTAAGGAAAGCTTTCTATTTTGACATTTCTATTTGTGTACATTCTCTATTTACTATTAATCTGTAACCTCTTGCTGAGCATGTAATACATAAGGCCCACATGTCACACATGTGCATACGTGGCCTGTGCTAAGACTTCACTCAATGCACACACTCAGTACAGTGACCGAGCTGTCACCAGTAGCTCCTGGTCCCTAGTTATGATTGGGAATAGGCAGGATGGGCTCCTGATCATGTGACCACTGTGACAGCCAATCACAGTTGGCGCGTAATCAGGAAGACCAGTCCAACCCGTCCCCCTGCCTTTAGGGACCCTTTCACACTAATGTGTTTTTGCTGCACTTTTACCCGGCTAAAAACGCAAGAAAAAAGCAAGAAAAATATTTCCTTTCCTCCTGGTCCTCCCCCTTCCCTCCCCATCCTCCTCCCCTGCTCTCCCCCTTTTTATTCTCCATCCTTCCTTGTTTCCCCACTACCCCTTCCTTCTCCCTGTCTCCGTCTCACACTCGATTTGCAAGATCTCTTGGATGGGACAATTTGTTATAGCCTTACAGACGTATTATCATATGACATGTGATTTGTCTACTATTGTCTGATTCGCTTCTTCTCTGTTCAACGTGTACTATGTTCAATTACATTTTATCTGTTAAAAAAAAAAATCCTTTTATTATTGTTTCCCTATGGAGCCTGGAAAGCATAGCATCAGTGGATCAGGGGTGCAATGCCAGACTCCTGCAGACAAGCCCTGCACGTTTTAGCTCACACCTGCATATGGGCTTGGGAATGAACTATGAGGGTCCTCATCAGCGACCCTGCAGTCCATTTAGAACTACAAGCCGTCAGCCCACAAAGGTTTGTGCATTCACAGGAAATTGTTAATAAATGACGTGACCTTATGGGCGGAGCCCTGCATGGATGTATTTTTTTCAAATAGTGATGGAGAAGATCCCCCACTCAGTAGTACGGAAGCGGGGGGGTTTTATGCAATACCCCTCCACTATTACCATACTACGATGGCAGTACCTTTGCAGCATAATGGGGAGTGATTGGGGGAAGGTAAAAGTGTGGCCCAGCCACACATTTTTAATGTCCCTCAAACACAAGTGTAAATAAGAACTAACAGGAAGCATCTCACTGTACTTATGTAATCACCCATATGGAAGAAAAATATATTTGAAACATATTTTAAAAATATTTTTCTCAAATATATTGACATATATTTGAAATGCTACAATTAAAAAAAAAAAAAAAAATATATATATATATATATATATATATATATATATATATACTGTATGTTGAAATGCGTTTTTATTACAAAAAATATGAAAAATATTTTTAAAAATACATTTCAAATATATTGTATGTCTTTAAAAATACAAATCTCCATTTTTGGAAAACATTTTACAAATATATGTAAAAAAGAATCTGAAGAATATATTTAAAAAAAATATTTTTAAAAATAGATTATTTTTAAATATATTCTTCAGATTTTTTTAACATATAAAAAAGTCATTTTAACATATATTTTTACATATATTTGTAAATGCATTCCAAAAATGTAGATATGTATTTTTAAAGACATATTTGAAATGTATTTTTAAAAATATTTTTAATATATTTTGTAATAAAAACGCATTTCAACATACAGTGTATATATATATATAAAAATATATTTTGAAATATATTGAATATGGTCAAAATTGTAGCATTTCAAATATATGTCAATATATTTGGGAAGAATATTTTTAAAATATATTTCAAATATATTTTTCTTCCAAGTGGGCATCATCATTATTATGATGATGATCACACAGTACAAAAGGTGCTTTATATCTGTCTGTTTACAGTGTATGGCTGTACCTCTGTCTGTGCCCCAGAAAACAGAAATCACAAGCTTGCCTGTGCCCTCGGCCATCTCTGTAATTAATCACCTCCTGCTGCCGGGCTACAGCCTCGCTCCACCAGTAAAAGAATCATTTTGCCAGTGAAAGGCTGTGAGCACCCACGGTCAGCTGCCACTGATCGGCATTGCAAAATGCAGCACGGCTTTAGCCGCCTGCGCCCGAAATTTAAAAAAAAGAGTCCCTCTCTGCTCCTCTGGTGAACTGATGGGGCCCAGTAAAAATATAATTAATGATACAGCAGTGCCGGCTGTACTGCCCTAGGCGGCTGCCTAGTTTGCCTAGTGGTAGCGCCGGCCCTGCTGCCAAGCACAATATGCTGTAAACAATTTGCTGCAGATCCTGAATCAGAGCCACAATTATGGTGGCAATAGCCACCATGTCAAAGTGTAGGTGGGTGGCTGGGGAGGGGGGCAGTTAAAAGGTACTCATTTGAAGGCATTAAATACATCCTTTTATAGTAATACGTTGATTTCCTTTTCACAGCAGTTATTTATTTATTTAGCTAATATAATATACTATAACTTTCTTATTGTTCATGATTTAAATTCATCCAAAATCATCCATGATTATGGTGTAGTCAATACTTCATATATTAGTAGATGGTTGTTGGCATATTCTGGAATTGGAACAATAACAATTTTCTAGTTGCTGTGACCTACTTTAAGCAGGGAAGCGTATTCTGCTCCCTTAGCATTTTATTCTGTGCTTCTTCAAGCGTATTCCTTATCCCAAGTCTCTGGTGATGTCGGCATTGCAGAGCAGCCGCCCAAACAGCTTCAGGGGATACATCACAAACATCCATATGTTCACTCTTCACATTTTGAAATATCCCAAGTTTTATAAAAACGCATGAAGGGTTAGTCTGCTTGTCCTAGTCAGCCAAACTAGACAAAATCCAGCTTCTCCAGGTTTACTGTAGACTATTATTATTATTATTATACAGTATTTATAAAGCGCCAAATAGTTCGCTCAGCGCTTAACATTACAAAGGGAGACAGAACATGTGACAGAACAATACCAATACAATGCAAAACATGAGGGGATCAAGGGCCCTGCTCTTTCGAGCTTACAATCTAGGAGGGAGGGGGGTGGTGGCACAGGAGGAGATAGCTGTGGGGGATGGAGTGGTAGGAAGAGTGGAGGAGGTCGGCAAGTTAGCAGGGGGTGGGGTAGGCTTCCCTGAAGAGATGGGTTTTCAGGGTGCGCCTAAAGGAGAGGAGAGTAGGTGATAATCTGATGGGTTGGGGCAGGGAGTTCCAGAGGATGGGTGACACCCTGGAGAAGTCCTGGAGGCGGGCATGGGAGGAGGAGACCAGGGAACTAGAGAGAACGAGGTCTTGTGAGGAGCGGAGTGTGCGTGCTGGGCGGTACTTGGATATTAGGTCGGTGATGTAGTTCGGGGCAGTATGGTGGACAGCTTTGTACGTCAGCGTTAGGATTTTGAATTTGATCCGTTGCACAATCGGAAACCAGTGGAGGGATTGGCAGAGGGGGGTGGCGGAGACAGAGCGGTTGGAAAGGTGTGAATGAGTCTGGCAGCCGTGTTCAGGATGGACTGAAGAGGGGATAGCCAGCGGCGAGGCAGGCCAGTGAGGAGGGAGTTGCAGTAGTCGAGTCGTGATATGATGAGGGAGTGGATGAGCTGTTTAGTGGTTTCTGGGGTTAGGAACGTGCCGGATTTTAGCGATGTTGCGGAGGTGGAGTCTGCACGAGTTTGTTAAAGATTGGACTTGGGGCTGGAAGGATAGGTTGGAGTCCAGAATGACACCCAGTACTCTGGCCTGCAGGGCGGGTTTGATGGTAGCGTTGTTGGATGTGACGGAGAAATCAATGGGGGGGTGGTGTCCGGGCTGGGGGGGAAGACAAGAAACTCGGTTTTGGAGAGGTTCAATTTAAGGAAGTGGAGCGACATCCAGTCTGATATGTCACTCAGTAGGTGTGTGATTCAGGCTGAGACCAAGGGGTGAGGTGGGGGGTTGAGAGATAGATTTGTGTTGTCGTCGGCATAGAGGTGGTAGTTGAAGCCGTGAGAGTGTATGAGTTGGCCAAGGGAGGAGGTATAGATGGAGAAGAGAAGGGGCCCGAGGACAGAGCCTTGAGGGACCCCAACAGAGAGGGGGAGTGAGGGGGGGAGGTGGTAGCATTATAGGTAACGCTGAAGGAGCGTTGTGACAGGTAGGATGAGAGCCAGGAGAGAGCAGAATCTCCGAGGCCGAGGGAGTGTAGTTTTTTGAGGAGGAGGGGGTGGTCGACTGTGTCAAAGGCCGCAGAGAGGTCAAGGAGTAGGAGCACTGAATAGTGGCCATTAGCTTTGGCGGTTAGCAGGTCGTTGGAGAGTTTGAGTAAGGCAGTTTCGGTGGAGTGTAGAGGAAAAGAAACCATCCACGTTGCCTGTAGCAATCAGGGTTTTTTTTTCCTTCTATTTTCTAAGCTTTCCAGGGCAATGACAGCTGAAATATAACTAAAACTCGCCATATACTATGCAAATTTCATCTAGCTGTTAACCACTTGCCCTCCAGAGGATTTACCCCCCTTCCTGACCAGGCCTTTTTTTTTTGCGTTACCGCGCTGCGTTACTTTAACTGACAAGTGCACGGTCATGCACCCAAATGAAATTTATGTCCTTTTTTTCCTACAAATTGAGCTTTCTTTCAGTGGTATTTGATCGCCTGTGTGTTTTTTATTTTTTGTGCTATTAAAAAAGACCAATATTTTTTATTTTTTGCTATTAACTGCCTCCCATCCACCATATAGTAATATGACGGACACAAGGCGGTTCTCTCATTCTGGGAGGACGTCATATGACGTCCTCCCATTCTCACCGTGCATGCGCAGCTCCAGGAGCGCGCAGCGTGGCGATCGGCGGTGCACTGTGTCCCTCGGACACAGTGGATCACCGATCCATGGAAAGAGCCGAAGATGTTGGCTCGGTCATGTGATCAGCTGTGTCCAATCACAGCTGATCACATGTAAACAGGGAAATGCCGATTATCGGCATTTCTCTCCTCACGAGCTGTCACGCTGACAGTTCGTGAGAAGAGGTGAGCCGGTAATCAGCATTCCTCGGAGGGGACATCTACACAGATCATCAGAGCACTGATGATCAGTGTGCCCTGATGATCTGTGTAGCCCCAGCAGCGCCACCTGTCAGTGTCCATCAGTGCCAGCTCTGTGCTCATCCATGTCACCTGCCAGTGCCCATCAGTGCCACATTTCAGTGCCCATCAGTGCCACATCAATGCCACATATCAGTGCCCATCTGAGCTGCCTTTCAGTGTCACCCATCAGTGCCAGTCAGTGCCACCTATCAATGCCAGTCAGTGCCACCTATCAGTGCCAGTCAGTGCCACCTATCAGTGTGCATCAGTGCCCACTATCAGTGCCCGTGAGTGCTGCCTATCAGTGCCACCTAACAGTGCCAGTCAGTGCCAGTCAGTGCCGCCAGTCAGTGCCACCTATCAGTGCCGCCTATCAGTGCCATATATGAGTGCTGCCTTTTCAGTGCCTATCAGTGATGCCTGTCAATGCCCATCAGTGCCACCTACCAGTGCCTCCTCATCAGTGCCCATCAGTGCCACCTATCAGTGTCCATCAGTGCAGCCTATCAGTGCCCATCAGTGCAGCCTCATTAGCGCACATCAGTGAAGGAGAAAAATCACTTATATACAAAATTTTATAACAAAAACTAAGAAAAAAAATTTTTTTTTTCAAAATTTGGTTTTGGTTTGTTTAAGAAAAAATAAAAAACCCAGAGGTGATTAAATACCACCAAAATAAAGCTCTATCTGTCACAAAAAAAAATTTATAAAAATTTCATATGGGTACAGTGTTGCATGACCGCGCAATTGTCATTCAAAGTGCAACAGCGCTGAAAGCTGGAAATTGGCCTGGGCAGGAAGGGGGTATAAGTGCCCTGTAGGCTAGTGGTTAAACAGTAGAAAAAATTTAAAAAATCAAATTTCGTCATAAATTCAAAATGTATTCTGCTACATGCCTTTGCTACAAAAAAATCCCAATACATGTAAATTAATTGGTTTACGTGAAAGTTTTAGTGTTTACAAATGGCGGTATAGATACTGGAATTTTTTTTTTAATTGTTACTAGTAATGGCGGAAATCAGCAACTTATAGTGGGACTGCGAGACTGCGGCAGGCATTCTGACATTGGGTTGGAACTGACTTGGTGTCACTGACATTCCCAGTGACACCAATACAGTGATCAATGCTAATAAAAAGCAGTGACACTGTACTAATGACACTGGGCAGGAAGGGGTTAACATGAGGGGCAATCAAAGGGTTAACTGTGTGCTGGAAGTGTTTTACATAGGGGGCTGTGTCAGTGTGCTTCACTGTAAGCACACTGCTTTGGATGGCTGTGCTGAGCACAGCTATCCAAAGCAGTGTGCCCGAACTGGCAGGGAGGAGAACTGTTAGTAAGGAAAACAGTTCTCCTCCCCATCGTAGATCATCAGAAATCACCGCGCGCTGGCGAGTAATCACCGGTCGGGACCCGGTGATTGACAGCCACGGCCGCGAATAGCAGCGGGTAGGGCACATACCCCCCCACCTGGAAATGCTAAATCACGTGATTTTGTGCACCCGTGCCACCCTGTAGCAGTATTTCTGCTATAGGGCGGCATGGAAGTGGTTAATGAACTGGCCAAAATTTGATCAGTGGATGACCCTGTCAGCACTAATCTGCCAGGCATCCTTTGATATAAAAATTGAAGGAACTTGGAGGAAAATTGTCAGTTGAACAGTGCCTGCAGGTACTGTTTGGGTATTCTGACAGCAGGAGACACTGGCTGTCAGAATACAATAGCCACAGCGGGAGATTCGTCCATCCATGCTTTTGCAGCGCCCGAATTCTAAACAAAAGAGATCTATAGGTGTATGACCAGCTTTTTTATACCAAGCCTTATTGTTATGTATGCTCCAGTTAACTACCTGAATAAATGTTATAGTTAACCATCTTGAGACTCCCATCATAGGTTCTACGCATGTGTTCTATGTAATACAATTCTTCCACTTTTTCTCTCAACCTCTATTTTTAGGGTTACTAATTTCCTCTCAATCAACATTGACTATTTTTAGCGCTTATGCTGCTAATATTAGTAAACATATAGGAAGGTATATTATATTTACTTGTTTTAAACTTTTTTTTACAATTCTTCAGTTACTTCCTGGTTTCCATGCCTAGGCAAATGATGTCATACATCCCAAGATTCTTCAGGAGGGAAGTAGGGGCTTTCACAGCTAAGCTCATCCTCCTGCCTGCATGCCTGAGCTAAGGGCAGATAAATTCCAGATTCCAGGAAGTAAATTCATCTGCCCTTACTTAAGATGTCCACACCTAGAAATGCTAGAGGGGTGTTTTTCAAAGAGATTTCTCAGTGAAATAAATAAAAATGAATTAAATGGTGTTTTGGGTTTGTGCTCATATGCAATGCAGTTCCGCTTTAAATCCACTATTCAAGTGAACCTGTTCTTTGCCCATGCAGGACAAAACAATAAAGTCACATTAATACCAACTTCTGCAGAAGTGTACACACACCTTCCCATCATAGATAACTCCGGGGTATGAGGTCGGGGAGGAGCATATGACTCACTCTCTCTCCTCCTTCATGACATCTCCGGTGCCTAATGACTGGTTACCCAGGCACCCAGCCCTGTCACATGGGGGGCATAAAAAAGTCCTCTGCCTTGGGTAAGTATCAAGACACAACTTAGCTGGGGCTATTTCTCATTGCTTCCATTGATGTACGGAGCAACAAGGGATTGAGCGGGAAGTAAGTATAACTTGCTTTGGGGGCCATCATTAAAATTAACCTGTTATTTTGACCTGTATGGCCAAAGTGCAGGTTCATTTTTAGCATCTTTAACTTTATAAGATAATAAGAAAGGCACTGAAAATAGCAGGAAGAAATCTGCTCTAATAAAAGATATGCTTTAACAAACCTTCCAGTGAAACCACCACACTCGCATAGAGAAATGCTGGGTGGTTTGATATATATGCCAGGCATGCATATTGATTCAGCTCTATCCCAGTATGTACCTCATTTCCTAACCTCTAGATAGTCCACTTACAACACCTGAGATAGACTCATCTGTAGCAGAAATCAGCCCATGCAAAACCAATATTGGAGTCTGATGAGATTATCTGCACCTTTTATATGCCACTACCAACCCCTAGAAACATTGAGTACAATGAGCTGCTGTACTACTGAATGAGCATTGTTGTACAGAAGGGAAATCAAAAGGCTGTAATCCTATCTAGTGGCAGTTGTATTTATATGGACCTCTCTAATTAAAAATATTGTCATGCAGCACCCTCCTAGTCAGTTAGGGTGAGCTAGACTCTGATTGTTAGCAAGGAGGGCTGAGTAGCAGTCTGGGTGTGATAGCTAGCAGGGGTCGCATTATGGTCAGAGCTGAGAGGCTTTGCAGACCAGCCCTCTGGACTTTCCCCCTGCTCTAGAACTTTGGAGAAAGGTCTAGAAGCAATGGGTGGATCTGAGGAGTGGCTGGTCTGTATCCATGGAGGATCCTGTCCAATCCCCAACAAGAGGCTTGGCAAGGGGCCAGGAAAACCTTTAAGAGTAATGGAGCCTGCTCAGCAGTAGGAGAGTTCGGGTGGAAGTTGGAGATGAAGTAGTGGGGCTGGAGAACAGGAGCCTGGGAGGGGGCCCAGATGTAGACGGGCTCACCTACAGGCAGTGGAGCTTGGAAGGAGAAAAGCTCAGACCTTCACCGGCTCCCAGAGAGAGGACCACTTGTGTAGCAAGGACGGTGTGGCCTAGCTAAAAGGCCTGGTAACAGTCACCGACCCACCAGCAGCACAGGAGAAGGACTGAGTGAGTAGACCTGCACCCCCTTGGCCAGATAGGGGAAGGAGGCACTCTAGTGGGAAGCAGGATTAGCCTGCCACTCAGGACTGTTTCACTATCTATGTGGCAGCACCTGATCCCCTGCTCAGGAATTCACCCAAAACAGCTGGAAAAGGGAAATCTAGGGTCTGGGGTGGTACTACAGGAGATGCCGGCTAGCTCTCCAGAAGAAACTGCCTTCCTGTAATCATTGCATGTAGTTCAGGAAGTTGTCCTCGTTTTCTCAGTTCCATTGGGCATCCCATACACCCCTTACCCTATCCAAGTTAAAATCCCCAAATAAAAATCCAAAATACAAGCTCAAGGACTGGTTACTGACTCCTGAATGCAAGTCGGTGTGGAAATGCATGTTGTCTGGCTGTGCAGGACTATAGGGAAACCCAAAACCTCAGCAACTCCTAAGGGGGTAGTGCTACAGTCAATTTATGTATGTTTGTGCTTAAAATTATTGTAGCCGTATTAGTGCACTTGCAATAATACAGTTGATTACGGATGGTAATCTTTCTTAAGATCATTAAAGGGAAAGTTGACTTTCTTAATCTACATTGACTATTTGTAATCCTTATTATGCTAGCATTAATAAATTGATAGGAAAGTATATCAAATTTACTTTTTTAAAACTTTTTTTTACATTTATTCAGTTACCTCCTGGTTTCCAGGCCTAGGCAAATAATGTCATATATCCCAGGAGCCTTCAGGAGGGGGGGGGTTCTCAGCAAAGCACGCCCTCCTGCCTGAATGCCTGAGCTCAGGGCAAATGGATTCCAGGGCGTAAATGCTTCATTAATCATCTACCTTTACTCACTGTGGCCACGGCCAGACATGCTAGAGGAGGTGTTTTTCAAAGTGAGTTCTCAGTAATAAAGCAGAGAGACATGGATGAATGGATGAGTTTGCTTTGAATACTAGAAATGAACGTTGAATGTTGGCCAAACTATCCATCAAAAGTGATGACGAGAGAGATTGGAACCAAGTATAAAACTGCAACCAAAGGTTATTATAATAAATACCCCTAGCAGTGTTACAGCTTGTCTCAGCTTCAGACAAGCAGCACAGTCCGTATGTAAGTGTTGAGAAAAATATAAATAAAGCCACGTTAAATAATTTACAAAGTGGCGTCGCTAGGGGGGTGCGCACCGCACCTAGGTGACACCCGCTAGAGGGGTGAGACCATCCCGAGGGTGACGACAGGCCGCAGGGCTTTTTTTAGCTGAAAAGAAGCAACACAGAGTTACACCACCTCTGGCACTAGCTCTGTGGTTTCATCTCACTGGCTCCTGTGCTGTCACATCTAAGTACAGAAGCCTGGCTGGCTTCTGCATTTAGATGTGACTGCGCAAACTCTCCGGGCGGTGTGGCTGCACAGAATCCTCCCTGCAACTGAGCTTGTGTGATGTCAGGGGTTTTGGGGGTCAGTTCCAATCCCATCCAGATCCCCCTACATTGCATTGTCTGCTTTATTGTCGGATGTCTCCCTCATTGCAGTTGCAGCTCTCCCCCCCCCATGGTGTGCCCCTCACCTACCTGACCAGGATCTGACTGTGCAGACATATAGGATCTGCTCACACCTGACACCTCCTCTGTCCTGT